AAATTATAAAAATATCATACACTATTTCTCTGTGTCTGCCTTATTTTACTTAGCATAATGTCCTCCAGGATCATCTATGTTGTGGCAAATGGCAAGGTCTCTTTATTTTTTAGAGCCAAATAATATTCCATTGCACAGGTATGCCACAGTTTCTTCATCCATTTGTCTATCAGTAGACACTTAGGTTGTTTCCACATCTTGGCTATTGTAAACAATGGTGCAATGAACATGAGAGTGCAGATATCTCCAAGAGATAGGGATTTCATTTTCTTTGTGTGTATACAGAGAGATTGCTGGGTCATATGATAATTCTACTTTTAGTTTCTTTAGGAACATCTATGCTGATATTCTTAATGATTGCATCCATCTACTTTTCCACCAATGGTGTACAAAAGTTCCTTTTTCTCCATACTTTTGAAACTTATCTTTTTAATAATGGCTATCTTAATGGATGTGAGGTGCAATCTCATAGCAGTTTTGATTTTCACTTTTCTAGCAATTAGTGATGTTGAGCATGTTGGTGATTTTTATGTCTTCTTGGCAGAAATGTCTGTTTAGGCCCTTAGCTCAATTTAAACAGGGTTATATGTTCTCTTGTGAAGGAGTTGTATGGGGTCTTTATACGTTTGGTATATTAATCTCTTATCTGATATGGTTTGCAAAGATTTTTCCAAATCCATGGGTTGCATTTTCATTTTGTTGATAGTTTTATTTACCTGCAGAAATTTTGATGTAGTCTCATTTATTTTTGCTTTTGTAGCCTGAACTTTTTTTATGATACCAAAGAAATCATTGCCAAGGCCAATGTCAAAGAGCTTTCCCAACATGTTGCGTGTAATAAACTGAACTTAGAAGACCAAAACATTAGACACTAAGCATCTTTTCATATATTATTGATCATTTGTATATTTTCTTTTGAGGTAAGGGCTTTTCTTTTCTGGTTGTTTTCTAGTTTCTCTTTGTCTTTAGATTTTAGTAGTTTTACTATTATAAAGCTAAATGAGGTTGAGGTTTTACTTCACTTAGGAGATTTGTTACTGTTAGTGTTTTTAGTGCATATTTTTGAAACAGTTTTAATATACCGTAAAACAGAGAATAGGTAGATGTATTGACATTGCTGGGAAACAGAGTTCTTAGAAAGGGAAGAGAGATACAAATAAGAAGTAGGAAAAGACGAAGAAGGAATCTCTGGTGTTGATTTGAATTGGAGGTATCAATATGAAGTTATTATTTTAAAATTATGTATTTTCTAACTCTAACCATACAATATGTAAGAAGCAATATAAAGCTGATGGACAATAACTTTATATCTTTGCAGTTGTGTTCCCAGTAGTAACGGGCAGAATTATTGCATGGTATTTAATTTTTAAATTCTTTTAAAAGAAACAACAGAAAAAGCTTCTTCTAGATCTAGAGCAGAGAAAGTAAAAAACATCTTTTGGCAGAAATCAAGGAAGCTTCAGGACCCAGAAAACATACCAAAAAATTCATAGAACCAGTTTCACGGGACTCCCACCAGCCAAACACAAGTATCTAAACATTAAAGAAGAATGAGGATACTAAATTATAACAAATTTTTAAAACCTGTAAGGCTATAACAACAATAAAAAGATGTAAGAATCTCTTCATTATAGAATAAGGCTAGTTAGTAAATTTAATTAGAAAATCATTGTAACCATTAATGTAGTTATAGACAGAGACCATCAGTTGATGCCAAAAGCAACATGTGAAAGGTTATTGGAGACCAAGATATCTATACTGTGTCAAAGTATCACTCCACTAATTGCTTATTAACTATAAAAGGTAAATGATACCTTCACAATGGAGAGATCTGATGTCTATGATGTCAAATTTAGTATTCAAAACTGTGTAAAGATAACATGGTATGTTCTTGTAGTTGGTCAGATGCAATGGGAAACACACATTGACTATGGCATGGTAGTTGACAAAATATTTAACCTCTGATAATGTGGAAATCCTGATGGTGGGTCATTTTACCAGTCAGCTGATATGAACTCTTACAAAAATTAAGGCCATGAAAATTGTAAAATATAAGTGGGCCAAAGAGATGTCTAATTTAAAAGTGGCTAAAAAGACCTGATAACCAAAATAAATGCATAATCTTTGATAATGTCCTGTAGGAAAAAAAATCAAAACGAAAGGACACATTGGTACAACTGGAGAAAGGTGAACGTGAAGTATAGATGAGAAAATAATGTTATATGAATGTTAAGTTTTTGAGTGTAATAAAAGCATTTGTGGTCATCTAAGATAATGGCCTCTTTTTAGGGAAACACACGGAATTATTAAGAATGAAGTGTTTTATTTCAGAAATTGAGGGTAAAATCCACATAAAGAGATAAAGCCAATGTGAAAAGATATTAATAATTGAAATATATTTTAATATTCTGTTTGTTGTATGATTCAGTTCTTCCAAAGGTGTCAGTTTTTAACATACAATTAGAAGAAAATCTTAAGATCTCAAAATGTTGGCATGATTTCAGTTTGGTGGTGGGTATTTATTCATTTTCAATATCTTTGAAATATTCTATAATTATCATAAAATGAACATACAAGATAAGATTTCTTTTAGTCCTATAATGTACTTTTTCCATAGGGATAGGCTGTGATGTTTTTAAAAGTCCCCCAAAAAGATAAGAGAATTTATAGTCTAAGGACAAAAAGCTTGATATCACTGAGATGAGCACAAAACTTGGCTAACAATGCATATCAAGAAGCCATTTAGTAAATACACAGGACTGTTTTAACTGAAACAGGAGATTCTGAGTTCTCTGCAGGTTGGTCAAGGATGCACAGATGTTGGGGAGCTAATGAATGTATGCAGAGGAGGGATAGTGCTTGTCCTAAGTTGTGGTTGGATAATATGTGTTTGTGTAACAGGGAGGGGGCTCTAGCAGGACAGAAGGATCAGATGGAGCTGGAAGGAATTCCCTTCAGTTCCCCACAAACACTGTCTGATAGTAGCCCTGATCTAATTTGATAGTTTAGAAATCCCATCACCATCCCTGGGCCATGGATGGAGAATCTAAGCCCAGTGACTCTGAACCATTGGCCATCAGGAGGCACTGAGGTTTGATGGGGTCCAAATGTTTTTGAAACAGAGCCAAGTGTTGCCTGAAAAGTTGTGTTTAAGGGAAAAGTGTGGCCTCATCCTAGCATTCAGCATCTAGTTTTCAGGTGTTTTGAGTGGTCAGTAGAAACTCTTCTTTCTTCACTGATGCCAGTGGGTTCTATTCAGTAGTGAATTCTGAACTGTAGAACACTATTGAATGGAAAAGCTTCTAAGCCTACTTGAAGGGCAGATGGAGAAGAGCCAGGAGCCAACCTGAATGTGCACAGACCCATGAAAAGAGAGAACAGCTGCCTCCTTGGGAGAACATCAGAGAAACCTTAGCAATGTGCCTCTGCCCTACACCTAACCCATTCTAGTGTGTCCTGGATAATGGACAGGAGGATGTAAGGGAAATGTAGGATAGAGGAGTGGACAATTGTAGATGTTTCCAGATAGGCTTATCTCAAATTGCAGTGACTCTGCAAATATTCTTAACAAGAACCAGATTTCCCAGAACTCTGGTATTTCCTTCCCTAAGCAATAAGATGCCCCTTTGGGCCCTGACACAATCATGGTTGTTATTTGTTTGTTTGTTTTTCCTCTCAGGAAGCAGGGGAGGCCTGAGAACATATGGGGAATGTATTTCCTAGAATTAGGATGCCCCAATTTCAACTATATCACATGCAGCCTGATAAGTCCTGTCTGCAGCCACCAAGCCTCCACCTTCTCAATGCTGCTGTCATCCAGGGCCTTAACCCCCGGTCACAAAGATGGAAGAGGTAGTGACACTGTGATGTGAAGACACTTTCCATCATGAAATTATTAATTGGTGCCAACATAAGGTGAACTCCGACTAGCAGCTTTTCTATTGCAATGATAGACAATTTATATGAAAAAGAGATGGTAATAGTTCTGATAATTCTACAACCACAGATCTTCACCTGATAACCTCGACATGTGGCTGTCCCCTAGGTTTTAGGAGCTTGGATTCCTCTAGGCTGAGTTGTACTATTCCTCTTCTCTGAACACACGTGTCCTTGGTTAGTTCGTTCATATTGACTCTCGGGGCTTCTCCAATCCCTCAAGCCTTCCCACCCTACTATCCAGACAATGAGAAGTGTGTCACAACTAATGCAGCACAATTTGTAAAATAATTGCTGGATACTAACACTGCAGTTCAATTGTAAGATATAATAGAAGGGTAAGAGTTTAAGATTCCAGAAGCTCTGTTCAATTTTGCATTTACTGTTAGATATTCACACTCAGGTTTTCAGGAATTAGAGTGTTCTTCACCCATTTTGGTTAAGATATCAGAACTTACTTTCAACGTATTGGTGACCAAGATCTACAGAGAACCCTGGTGAAGTCTTGATCCGTAATGCATAACGAAGATTGATAACTGCAAAAAGGGAACTGGTCATTGGCCTTCAGATAAAATGAATTCTCCCCACTTTGTGTTCAGAGAATTATTTTATCCCTTTAGTCTAGAGTTTGTCAGCTAGTTCAATGCACTTCTACGATAAAGCTGGGTCAATTACCCTAGAGGACTGGGAGCATAGAGGACCTGATAGAAAGGAAATACCCAAAGAGAAGGATAAATCAAGAGGTCACTAATATTTATTTCAAGTTTCCTTTGAGGCTTCCGAGTAGAAATGTCCAGCAGAGGATGGGCCTAGAGATGTAGTGAGAGACCTAATCCCCCAAGCCCTGAATATGTGAGTGAGAACACTTGTATGAATTACACAGTCTATGAATATGGTAAAGCACCTTTGTGCTCTGTTTTAACTTATAATAATTGATTTCTAAGAATGTAGGCATTTGTGGAGGCCATGATGTCACTGTGGGAACTGCCATGAGAGGACAAGGACGTCCCTCCTCCTCTGCTCCTGCTCACAGTGACCCTGATTGGGCAAAACTCCCATCCTGACCTGACCCTGCCATAGGCACCAGGCTCCTCTGCTGGGTGGCCCTCTGTCTCCTGGGAGCAGGTGAGTCCTAGGAACACCATGGCACATTGGATATCTCAGTGATTATTTCAACTATTTCCTTCTTTCTATTTTCAAATTTTGTCTCTTTCCTTCACAGAACTCACAGAAGCTGGAGTTGCCCAGTCCCCCAGATATAAGATCACAGAGAAAAGGCAGGCTGTGGCTTTTTGGTGTGATCCTGTATCTGGCCATGCTGGCCTTTACTGGTACCAGCAGATCCTGGGACAGGGCCAAAGCTTCTGATTCAATATCACAATGAGGATGACTCACAGTTGCTTAAGGATCAATTTTCTGCAGAGAGACTCAAAGGAATAGAATCCACTCTCAAGATCCAGCCTGCAGAGCTTGGAGACTCAGCCATGTATCTCTGTGCCAACAGCTTAGCCACAGCATTGCAGAGACACTTCCCTCCTGTGCAGAAAACTGCAGGGCTCCTCTCCTCTATCAGCTCACAGCAGCCTTTCCTTATTCCTCATCTTCCCAGGGAAGAAGCAAGTTTTCAGATACAGTTAGGATTCATATAATGGGAGAAAATGAACTATTTCTTAAAACATGAAGACTATAATTGTTGTTTTATGTCTCAGGGATTTGAAACACTTTTCAGGGAAACTCAAGAAATCTAAAGTGACTCATCAGAGACTTAGTCCTCAGGGGTAGTGATGGTTTCTCTGTCATAAAAGTATGTGCCCATGAAACACATGCAATAAACTTAATAATATAGATGGTGATGGCACCAAGTAATGAACAGCAGGCCCCCTTCTGTAATTGTCAGCATGTGAATGACCTGGTTGTTATCCTTGGTGACAACCTGGCTCTCTAGCAAAGTCTCAATACACAGTAGGTGTTCGAAAATCTTTTCCCTTCTGTTTTATTTTTGGTAAAGTATGGTAATAGTAATGTTGTTAATGATAGTGATTATAATTTCAGCTATGTTATTCAGCCCTTTTTCAAATTCAGAGAAATGCACATGAATCGATACCTTGGCACCCAGTCCCAAATCTTAGCTCCAAGTGAATTCTCCTTCTCTTGAACTCTCTAACTCTTCTATGTAATCATCCCAGCCCAAGAGTATATCTAGACCTGGACCAGTCAATTCAGAGTCTATCGAGGACATTTCTGCTTGTCTGCTTGTATATTAAAAGCTCCTTAGTGCATTGAAATATTCCTTGTAAGAACTTCTGAAGCAATCAGTTGCCCTGATCAATTGCCCCCTCTGATAATACACTCTGTGTGTCTAGCTCCATATTCACTACTCTACTTCTGTCAAAATGCTCTAATATTAGAAATCTTTCTGAAGTGTTGGTTAGAATTACTTAAAAAGCAGTTTGCTGAATATTGCCTGAAAGCATTGTCACTGTCCATTAGCCCCTCCTGAATTCCTCCCCCTCCTTATCCAATCTAACACCTGGTGGCAGTCAGACTTTATGCTCATTTGCTCATTGCACACCTCCCTCTTTCCTTTCCTCCACTGATAAAAACCTCACCAATGGGATGGATGAAAAACCACCACTCACCGTCTCCTTGTCAAAATTTCTATTTTTTTCTTTTTCCAATCTGCTATGTTACTTATAGTTAGGAACTCCCTCGTAACATTTCCTGAGCTCACTTTTTATTATTTGAACATGGGACACAGAGTTGTTTCAGAGTCTGTCTGATCATTTTCACCTCTGAGATCTTCGTGGGCTGTTTTGGTTGATTTTCTTTTTGTGCTACCTCTCAGTCAGGGTGCTTGATTTTTCATGGTGTTTGTATTTCTCCCTATGAATCTAATAACGTTTGACACTGTGCCAAACACTATGGTTGTAGAAATAATTTTGGGTGTAGGATGGACCATATTTTTCTCCAGAGATAATTTTTCTGTGCTTCTGAAAGTGCCTGTAGGTATAAACAATCAGGCTCGCTGCATCACAATTTAAGGCTTGAGGTGTCCTGGAGCACCTGGAGAACAGGTTTGTCTCCGGCTCATTGTTACTATTGGAATTCAGCAATGACACATTCCATATGTTCCGGCCTTTGCCTTTACCCCGATGGCCTGTGAGTCAGCTTCCTGGGTGCTGAGTCAGGATCCGCAAATGCCCTCCAGCGCAGGAGGACTGCCATGCTCACCTCCCAGGGCTCTTGCCTTCCACATCATTCTAGCCAAGTTATTCCTTATTATTTCTTTAGGACTTTAATTAACTGAAGTTTTTAATGTTGTTTTTGATATTTTTTCCAACTGTGTAGATAACAACAGAGTAAGTGCCATTATCCTTAATTATTGGGATTAAGGTGAAAATAACTTTACTTGGAATTTTAATTTTCCTTTAATTGTAATGTTAGATTCTTAGTCTGTGATTTGTCTGATATTTAACTTAAATGGTATAGAGATGTTAAACTCTGATTTCAATCAAATACTTATTTTTTAAAAACTTAAAGGACATTCATAATCAAATTGGGACATACCTTTGTTTGGGGCATGAAATTAATAGAGTATTCTTATATTGTTATTTATTTCTATCACATAACCTCTGTGTTCCATGGGACCATATGGCAAGATGGAAAACAGAATAAAGAGATTAGGTCAGATTAGTCTTCAAATTAATTTAATTGCTTCACTGTGGGGGTGCATTTGTGCTGTTTTATGAAAATTCCAGAGGGGCAGTGGTCAAAATTTCAGGGAGTAACTGATATGTGGCTATTGTTTTACCCCATTTAAAGCCAATTTTCTGGGACAACAGTTTGTTCCACATACCCCATTTTGTGGGGCTCCCCTAAAGTAGTAATCCTGATTTAATCTTCCTATTCCTTGCCAAATCTTGTCTATGGGAAGGGAAATCAGTTATGGTATTTGCTGTTTTCATTTTACTGTAGTCTCTCCTTATTTTCCTGTTTTTCTCCTGGTTCCCTAGAGAAAAGCTAGATTATTTGGTGCTTTTTCAACATGAGCTAAGATCAGTGGGGAACTTTCTCTTCCACACAGGGTTGGCTGGCAGTTTGGAAGAGATACAGAATGGGTTAAATTCGGATTCAGCATCATGTTTCACACTGAGACTTGCTGCTTATCAGTATTAAAGCTGACATTATGTCTCCACCTTTCTGACTTCACCATCAATGTCTCAGGTGTTTCTATCCTACCCCACAGCACCAATATTATTTCTTGGCCTTCTAACACCAACTAATCATAATGTCCTGTATCCCCTGTACTCAGTGAAACAAAGCACAAGTCCCTGTGTCCTGGCAAAAGAAAGCACATTGGTGATGTTCTGGCCTACTGGCCACTAGGAGGCACCGTGGCTTCATTGTCATCCAAAGTCTATGGGGAGGAGCTGAGACTGCTCTCTGGAAGAAGATGGTTAAGGATAACCCTGAGGTTGGACCTAGATTCAGGAAGTTGGTTTCCAGATGTCTTGAATGATGACTTGGAATAAAGGAATTAGTAACCAACCCTTTCTGGACCCAAACCAGCCCAGGCCAACCCTACCTTCTCTGTTGAATGTAGAGAGTAGAACTGCAAGAAATGGAGGTGCTAACCTGGACCACATCAGAAGGACCCTGTCCCACATCAGAAGGACCCTGTCCCCCGGGAGCTGACGATCACAGTGACGCCACCAGCATATCCACTTAAGAGGCATAGTCCAGTGTGACCCCTGGAAGAAGATGAGTCCTGGTAGACATAAGAAGATGTTTTTGTCTAGGCTTCCTTTGGCCTGATTTTAAATTCCTTCCATGTGATCATGCACCTGTCCCTACCTGTATTGTGTATCTGGCTTCTGCCTCTCACCCATCAGTCCCGTGGCTACTATAAGGTACTCAATTTTTATTGACACAAATTACCACTAACTTGGTGGCTTACAACAACAAAAAATTATCTTACAGTTCTGGAGGTCAGAAGTTCAAAACCCAGTAAAAATCAAAATCAACACCTTGGGAAAGCTGCATTCCTTCTCAAGACTCTAGGAGAGAACTGTTCTTCTCTCCTTGTCAGCTTCTAGGACAGGCTTCTAGGTAAGGTATGTTCTGGAAAAGGTACTATGAATTGATAATATCAAAACCAATCTACATGGAGCCTCTGCAAGTGTACATCTGTATCTCAGATCAATTATAGTTGAGTTCAGTTCTGCCTGATTCATCTCCCAGAGGTGCAGCCTCTTCTTAAAGAACTTGGGGGTGGTGGCCCATTCAGTGATGTCACTGACAGATGCATCCTGTGGGGATAAAATGTCACAAAATTCACTTCTTTGCTCGTACTCACAGAGGCCCTGGTCTAGAATGTTCCACATCTGCTCTCACTCTGCCATGGGCTCCTGGAGCCTCTGCTGTGTGTCCCTTTGTATCCTAGTAGCAAGTGAGTCCTCAGAACATTTACCATTGTCATGCTGGGCTTCTGTAGGGATGATGCCCGACATTTTCTTTATTCTGGCCCCCAACTTTGTCTTCTTTCATAGAGCACACCGATGCTGGAGTTATCCAGTCACCCCAGCACAAGGTGACAGAGATGGGACAAGAAGCGACTCTGAGATGTGAACCAATTTCAGGTCACACCCAGCTTTTCTGGTACAGACAGACCATGATGCAGGGACTGGAGTTGCTAATTTACTTTAACAACAAGGATCCGATAGATGATTCAGGGATGCCCAAGGATCGATTCTCAGCTCAGATGCCTAATGCATCATTCTCCACTCTGAAGATCCAGCCCTCAGAACCCAGGGACTCGGCTGTGTACTTCTGTGCCAGCAGTTTAGCCACAGCGCTGCAGAATCGCCCCTTTCCTGTGCAGAAACCCAGCCGGTGCCCCTTCCCCTTCTAGCTCCCAGCAGTCCTAAGCAAAGTCTTTCCTGTTCCTCCTTCCCCGTGAGAAAAAAGTGGTTTTGGGGTGTGACAAAGACAAAATGAGAAGGTATCAACATAAGAAACCTTATGTAGGAAATAGGTTTGGAGGATTCCTCAAAAATTATTCCTGCTCAAAACGCACAGGAGTAAGATAAACCTTGGCTACTCATACTGTAGATTTCCCTGGCTTCCTGCATTTGCCATCCCGTGGGAATGGTGGGCGCTCCCGAGAAAGGAGCTTCCCTTTCTCAACCTTGCCCTTGCCCTCAACGTTTCTCATCTGGTCTGCCAGTGTCTGCTGCTGTGTCTGCTGGTGTGCTCCTCTGCAATCTCGACATCCAGCCTCTTGTGTCTGATTCTGCTTAAGGTCTCCCATTTATATGGGCACAGGATGGAGGGCGTGGTGGACCAAAAGGCAACTTTTTGAGTGCAAAAACAGAGATACCTGTCCTCATTTAGGTCCATGGGCACAGGCCAGAGGGTGGAGCCCTCACCAGGGACCCTGCCCTTTTCCACCCAGCACTTCCCTTCCCCCCTCTTGAATCAAATGTTTTTTACTTGAATGAGGGAAATCCTCTCTTGGAAGATTTCAAGTGGTGGGGAATGTAAATTTGAGTAGAAGCAAACCATAGCTTAACTATTCTGAATTTCCTGACCTTCAAAATATTGGAAAAAATAGTTTAATTTCTATAATCTTCATGGTTGTTTTTTTCCAAAATGTGTATCTACTTTATACCACAGTGAAAACAGAGTAAACAGAACCATTTGCTGCTTCATAGAGAAGGAAAGCATTTAATAGTGTCTTGAGTGATTAGAAGGATTGAACAATGTGAAGAAGGTGGTAGAAATAACAGGAGCAAATATATGAACAGGCATTAAATTGTGTAAGACTATTTTGTAAGGGTATGAAGTACATTTGATAAAGTAATATTTATATTATTCCGTCATCAAAAATAGGATGAGATATGGTCGAAATGTTTACAAATTCAAATGCCCTTCCGAAGCAAATTTTTCATCTGGTGAGCAATGCAGAATTGTTAAATGTATGAAAATTGAAAAGTTGCTTTAGGAAAACTGTCACTGTTAGAATAATTAAAGCTTCTTTCCGGCCTAACTGCGATACTTAGGAGAAGGATGTTCCAGGCAAAGGGAATAGCTTGGTCAAAGGCTCTAAGGCAGAAGCGTGTTTTGTGTATTTGAGGAATGGCCAGAAGGCCAGTGTGGTTGTAAAAAAAAAAAGCAAGGAAAAGAGGAACAGAGAGGAGGCAATGAGTATAACAGGGAGGGGATCACCTAGGACCTTGTAGGCCCATTCAGGCTGTAAGCTGTTCTCTGAGTGAACTGGGAAGCTGCTGTATAGTTTAACATAAGACTGACAACATCTAACCTAAAGAATCACTCTGACTTCTCTGTTGAGAGTAGACCCTGGTTTGGTGGCTACAATGAGGGAGGGCAAGCTTAGAAGTAGAGTAACCTAGGAGAAGACTATTACAATCACAGAAGATAAATCGAACAAATCCCCGGCGGGGGGGTTAGTGCCCTTCCCAACTCTGCCATTCATAGGAACCTATAGGGAGTTGGATTTAATTGGGGTTGATATTACAGTCTTAAATTTTTTTTTTTTTTTCTTCTAGAAACAGGGTTTTGCCATGTTGACCAGGCTGGTCTTGAACTCCTGACCTCAAATGATCCGCCCACCTTGGCATCCCAAAGTGCTGGGATTATAGGCATGAGCCACCCCTCCTAGCCTCAAAGTATTCAAAATTTTGATGCATGGGTACAAATAGAAATGAGACACAAGTGTGTCTGCATCTACCGTATCTGTGAACCTGTTTTCAGATTCTTATTATGCCTTTAAACCTGTGTCAGTTACCTGCTGATGTTTCTTTTTTCTCTTCTGTCTTTCCTACACACTCTACTAAGTAATACATCAGTTATTAATATCCTGGGGAATAAGGAGAGGTATGTAATAAATTATAATAAATAAATAAGGAGAAGTGCGTCTTAAACCTTAAAATATGATTAAAACAATGTAAGAATTAAAACATGAGAGTTTAAAAGTTGTAGGCTCTGTGAACTGCAGAGGGCAGAGAAATAGAAGAATTGTGGGAGTTAGTGAGGTAAACAGAAGGGAGGTAGTGGTAGAACAATAGGACCCTTTAAATAGAAATATTGAAAGATCTGTATTGTTCCTTAAATGGTCTATAATCATGGAAGCAAGTCTGAAAAGGACTGGAGAAGGGAAAGACTCAGGGTAGAGGAGGGCAAGAAACTCAGAAGCCTCGCTAGTGAACAAACTGTCTATGTGATGAATAGTATTAACAGTGATGACTGCATTAGTAGCAGGCAGAAGGACTGAATAAGAAAATTTCTGAAGGTAATAAGGGACGTACAATGAGAAGGGATAATATGATGAAGTAATGTATATGAAGCAGCTGGGCTTTAAAGAAGGAAGAAGGGAAATGAACTGGGAGCAGCAGGGGAAAATTCTGCACTATTTCAGTCTTGAAAGTCAGGAAACCGACGTGGCAAAAAAAAAAAAAAAAAGGTAGGAGAATGACAAAGTGGACTTTGGCTTACGGCAGAACTCCAGCAAACCTCAATTGCCTTGGGCACTCATAATACAGGGATCTTTTGCCTCAGTTGTCAGTGCTACCATGGGGATTTAGAAGGAATCAGTATGTAAATATGACTATAAAAGAGAAACTATAACCACTCAGAATGAATTACAGGCATTGTATAGAAACCTCTCTTATAAATAAAGAGAAAAATGTAAATTTGTGTTGTAAGGACATATAATCAGGGAGGAAGCAGGGCAACAGAAGACTGCACATGCCTGTCTCCTTTTAGATACCCCAGTGTGGATCCTTATGAGGAGGCCTCATCAGTGCTCTGTGAGTGTGCATAGCCTTTAGCCAGTGCCCAGCTCTTCTTATTCAGAATAGAGACAAATGGATCCTTAGATTCGGGGCCAGGTAGCTTACCTCTAATGTTCTAACCTGCTTGTTACAGCTACATTTGAGACACTCTTTAGGAGTAATGAAAAAATCCCTAAATAAATGTAAAGTCGAAATTGGCATTTTAAAGGAATGTCCACAATCGTAGTAAAGAACTTTCTTTTACAATCCAGAAAACTTGTGAGGGAAATTTCTGTTTGCAACTTAGAATTAGGAGAAAATGAAGATGGTAGCATCGTTCAACCTTCCCTTGCACTCAGCCTTTCAGTCCACACATGATCTGATTCTTCCAGTATGCTGGGCAAAAACTCCAGCTGTCACATTGGCCCCTTGTCCTTGCAATAAGCAGAGGGTCTATTGAGTTGACTAATACAAGCTGTCTGCAGCTGGCAAAACTGAAGGAGTGCACTGTAATGCTTTCCCATTTGGGCTTTGGGAGCCCTAGATGCTGCCATGGGGTGGGAGCCCAGAAGCATCCCCAAGGCCTCTTCCCATGCCCGTCTGCACGCTCCCTCTAGGGATTTGAGCATGAGGGCATCAAAGGAGTGAGTCACACCCCTGTCACATGCCCTGTGAGGGGAATAAGATAATTCTCCCGTTTCAACTTAATTTGTAAAAGACCTTGTTAACAGGATGAAAAAGAAACCACAGCAACGAATAAAACATTTGTGAAGTAAATATCCAACGAAGGAATATTATGTTTATTTTAAGATTTGCAGAACTGTCCACTTAACACCTAGAATCATGAGAAATAATAAATGATTATTGCTTTAACCAGTGAGACTTGAGGGAGGCATGTTATACAGCATTACTGTGCAGGTGTCAATTGATATATTCTATATTGCAGTATCAATTTCTTAAAATTGTCCTAACCATAATCCCATAGATCATTACTAATTCCAAGCTTGTTGAAGATTGCTGCTCAGCTCTAATGCCTTTGTTCTGTTTTCTATTTTCATTTCCACATAAGCATAAATTCTAGCAGCTTTCAAACCTCCAGAAGCCCTTGACATTTCTGATTCTGAAAACATATTTTCTTGTTTCAGCATTTTTATTGTTATTTTTTATTCTCTTGTATGGTAAGGTGCTCAGTTTACTATGTTGAATTAGTAATTCTTTAAACATTTCTGCAATTTTGAAGATACCATGGTCTTTAAACATTTTTGCATTCTGAAGATACTGTGGTCTTTGCAGTTCCTGTTTGCATATCAATTCCTATGAACTATTTCTGGTGCCTCTGAGTCACTTCTCAGAGTGGTCATTGGCTTTTACTGAGGCTGATTCACCGATCTTTGGTCATTCTTGGACACATAAGCACAAATTCAACAGTGTCCATTCCCAAAATATGTGATATTCAGGGAAATTACTTTTCATGTAAAATAGATGTGTCCTTTTAATATTGCCAGTAGATTATTCTAATTATGGACTAGTAATATCCAACAGACTTATTTGGGTTTAGTGACAAACATATTACTGTGTTCGCTCCTCAATTCAAATACAGAATTCGTATTTTGCATTATATAGCTGCAAGTTTTGAGGTTCTCCATCATATACTTAGCTATACAATAGTAGCTACTCTTGTCTGGATATTTTCTAAAATCCTGGATGATTACAAACTTCTCCTTCACTGGTGAAAAAAAATTTTTAATGCAGGGTCAAATCCTATATTAAGTCTTCCAGACAGTAAGAAGGTAACTATTCAGGGTCTACCAGATGGGCAATTAGAAGCAGCTGTGGTCTGTGGCACTCAGGGAGAGGAATGAAATGTGTGAGTGAATTTAGCACTGTCAATTGAAATATTCAGGTTCTCACATTGGGAGTAACTAGGCAAACAACTTGACCTGCAGCAAACAAAGAAAAGCAGGGGGTTGGGGGTATGATGGCCCACCAGGAGTAGTACAGAGCCAAAGAAACCCCCACCCCCAGCCAAGAAAAGTAGTGGGTGAGTGTGCA